CGATTGGGCAATCGAGTACGCCATTTCTTGGTGTTATGTTGCCTGCTGAAGAAGTGTTTCCTCCGTAATTTCAGCATGTTCCGGTCATAAGTCACTAGATAACCTTTGGAGTTGTACAAGAGTAGAAGTGGAAGTAGAAGTTCATACTTCTAATTGATTACAAAAGGAAGCACATGAATACCAGAAGAGTGGCGACCGTACTTTGGCCATCATTACGCTCATTGCGGTTTCAGGGGATTACTAAATTAAGCCTTATCCAACAATTCCGTAGATTTGAATAAAAAAAAAAAAAAAATCCACTCTAGCTGCCTAGTGTATCTTAAGTACGAGCTTTAGGAGTCGTGGGATATACTATATGCCGTCTAATTCTCCTGAGGGCTGGTTATTCACAAAAATTATGTTTCTGCGTCTCATCACCGTTCGCGCATGCCCCTCATTACACTAATTCTACTTTTTCAATTTTCTGAATATGAAATCTCAAGGCTAAGTATCCCGTGATGATGCCTGCCATATTACAAAGTTCTCTTTTGCCCACAAATAGAAGTTTTTTCCACCGTCAACCGTTCAAAGATGTGAGTCCTTTCTCTAGAAATGATTGCTTCAAACCCTTAAGGAGCCTTTTCGTTTTCTTCAATTCCTATTCCAAAGTACTTACTCAGAGTCTAGTGATTGACTGTTTGCATAACCTGACACAGTGAGACTTAGTATTAGCCCTTCAGATAGCCATAAAGCACTCCAAACAGTGTTTTTTTGAGAATGGAACGGTATGAACGGCATCCATGAGGTTGCGCATTATCCACATTACCTATTCTGCTAGGAATTATTTCGGCAGCATACTAGCCTTTATGTTGGTACTATCAGCGAGTAACTGATCGGCTACCCAGTCTATTTCCGCTCTAAATATGTGATCCTCGATTAATACACCCGCAATATCATCGTCTTCGATTGCCGAATAATTCGGAATACTAGTGCATAGAGGTGGATAACATATTACATAAAGTATCCAGTCAATATCAGTAGTCATCAGCTTTGCGGCTGGTATTGTGCTCTTCCTCTTCTTCAGAGCAGGTACATCGTTGATATACACTTTTTTGGCGGCGAAGCTATTTTTGAACAACGTTAAACACACGTGTGAAGTAGTTTTAATGTAGGCGTGCTCCGAACTTAGCCAACCCCACCCACGCGGTCCTTTACGCGGCTTATTTGCCAACTCGAGATCCACCAATCGGCGATCTGTCGATAAGAGATCGTGTAGTTTTGTCAAGTTATACTTAGTGAAGGTTTTGGGGCACCTTGGCGTGGCTCATCAAAAAACTAGAGTGTGATCATGTTGGAACTCATTGAACCAATTTTTTATAGTCGCCATCGAAGGTGAAGATTCCAAGCATTCTTTACTTTTACTCTGCAAACTACAAATTAAATTCGCGCTGCATCTAAGGCAATATACTGCACTATACGTAGGTTGTTTTTTAAATTTCGGCACTTGGCAACCCTAGTGTTAGCAACTCTGGTATTGCTCAATCGCTGGATCGGGTTCTACTGGTTCGAAATATACTCCGGCCTTAAGACTTTTCGCACTTTTTGGCAAGACTCTCGCATATTCAATACTTATAGTAAATACTTTAAGGCTTTTGGGTATTTCGACTTCGACTTCGAGAATTACGGCTCACTACCTTCCTCAACTCACATTTACTTCATCTATTTGCATTTTTGCTCTACTGGTAATATATTATTACTCCTCTCCATGCTGGAGCGTAAAATAAAGTCACCCGAAGTGGAAACATACCTGAAACTGAAAAAACGGAGCCGCTGCTGCAAGCAAATACCTACGTTGAATTAAGTAGAGAAAAGCTTCAACGTCCAACGGATATTTTAACAACCTTAGTCAACCAGTCAACTAATCAGATATTCTCTTTCGTGCGGTTAGTGACATAGCTGTTGATCCTTTTTATGCAGCTTGAGCCGACCAAGGGTGAATAAAAGTTGCCAGCTACCGTCGAACTCTGCGGGTTCGTACGGATTTTGCGAAATTCAATTTGCAACTTAAATGTGTTTATTTTGTGTTGTTTTGCTCTTGTCATTGCAGCGAAACTGAAAAATGCGGCGAGACAGTCCCTCATTGGCTTCCAAGTTGATGCTGTGGACTTGTGGCTGCCACTCTTTTACCATACCACTAGTACACGTATTCCTATATGCAAAGAAGCTCTAGATACAGCTATCAAGTTACTAATACGACAAAAGTATTGGCATGAGGAAATCACATACATCCATCTACCTTGGTATACAACCGGTACGATAAGTATATAGATTTGTAGGTATATTCATCGGTATCAGTGCTGTGTGTGGCTTCCGGATTTCCTATCAGTGGGGAGCCATCAATTTTATTCCCAATCACTGCGAGCAGTTACCGTTCCACTGCCGCATGCCGCTAAATCCAATCAAGTCCCACACGCAAGCGCTTACCGGGCAGGTGGCATACTCCAGCACATACTTCACATTGCCGTGCCATCTAACAGCCCGTAGCCCGTGTTGACTTGAGGATATTGGTAATTTATAAATAAAATGAGATTTTCACCAACGGTCCCTATCGTCGCTTCAATTGTTGTTTTTCTTCTGCCGATTACTTGTGTGCGATTGAATTAGCTTAATAGAAGTTGTCACCTCAAAATCACATATTTAAATTTCAAAATAATTCAATAATATTTAAAAGAAACTGGAATAAGAAAATGGTAGCCTATACTTACGTGATTTCAACTTTTTTTCTCAACTTCTATGATTCTACGATACCTAAAAAACATGAAGGACTATATTTGACTATGGAATGAAGATTGAGTGAAATTTTTCACAATATTAACTCTTACCAACAGGAGCTACTTTGGACTGAAAAGGCAAATGAGCAGTAAAGTTCTTACTCGACGAACAAAGACCAAATTCTAGAAGTTGCTCATCATCCTTGTCCTGCTATATGGTGCAGAGGCATGGGGTTCTGGGGAAGATTTATGGTCGTTCGTGCATTGGCAACGGCATATGCCTCAGTCAATGGAACGATGAGCTGTACAAAATATACGACGGTATTGACGTATATACATTAAAACTACCGCCGGGGGAAGCAGAGAAAGGGGAAGACCTCCACTTCGTTGGAAAGATCAGGTGGAGAAGGGCCTGGCTACACTTGAGAAAGAACGACTAGCACGCTGTTTTAAACTCGACCAATCAAGAAGAAGAAGAAGAAAACCCCCAAAGTTACATGCCAAAGTGCAAAAAGGTGTTCTAAAGGAAAGAAGGTTACTTTTCTAAAAGGCGGCTGAAAATCGCCATAAAGTAATGTTTTGATGATTTAGAAATGTTGGTTTTTTACGTTCGGAGCTTTTGAATTTTCTAATCCGATATTTCAAATCTAACCCCAGGAGACGCCTTTCTAGATTTGTAAAAGGCCTTTAAAATCAAAATCTGCATCCGCATGGACTCCAACTGAAGTCCGAGAATTCTCATATTGCCCATAATATATCCTACTTCTACATTAACTTTTGTCATTGAATCTTTTCTAAAAACCACCACTGTTAGCCCCGATTTCTGCTCTAAAATATATGCAAAAGTATAGCCCTTGGCCAAGTAAAATTCGAGACGATTCGACTCAAAGTCTCCTCCACTAAATCTCCAGAGATCATATTCACTAACTGGACGAAGGAGCAGAGGCTACATTTCGACTGTCAATAAGCCTTAAGTTGTAGGTGTGAAATTTGTCAGGAAAAGACAAAGGAACATTGTTGGAAATATGCAAGGCAATCGTCCGGTCGGTTCTTAACTACGCCACAACAATATGGTCTCCTGGTTGAAAGAAAACGCAGACGAGGAAGCTACAGACATGTCAAAACACTGCACTCTGGAAGACAACGGAATTCCTCTTAAGGTTTTCCATCGAACACCTGCAGAGTGACGACCGTATGCTCCTAGTTAAGGCGCATAACGAACTTCTGTTCAAGCAATTCTGCTGGGGCGCTTTCGTAGAAATCATACTCGAAATCACCAGCTTTTAGCGGAACCGCCTCCTAGGAGCATCTAGAAGTCCTTCCTCAACTACGTCGACGGCATTCAGACTCACAGTGGAGCCATTAACACCTTTACGAAGTACCTCTCAATGAATGGCATACTTGGAGTCAAACCACCACCCATGCAGACGACAAGCTCAAGTTGCCGCGAGAATCGAGAGTGACGCTTCGATTACCTTCGTTCTGGATACTGTAGCAGGTTAAACGCCCACTTATTCGAAGAGACCTTGACATATGAAATTTATATACACAGTACAACGAGACCGCGCATGACACACCACCTCTTTGTATGCCCTGCTAACCCTACACATATAGCAATCATCTCTCTATGGTCTAACCCGCTCAAAACAGCATGTTTTCTGGGTCTACCGTTGGATGACCTCGATGGCAACTTAGCGAATCCTTATCATCCAAACGGAGACTAGATAACCGTTACAACAACAACACGGCCTCTATTTTGTATAGCGCCTTTGCCATTGACATGTATTAGCAAAGGTTGCCAAGTCTGCTGAAAGTGAAAGAAGCGTCCTGAAAATGGAAAAACACTTAGCTCAGCTTTCTCAGTCAATACAGGTCTATAAAAAGGCGAAAGGGGATTCAAGTTTCAAAAGAGGTTACTTATAAAGAAGAAAGTATTGTGTTTCGAATTGGTTGGAAATGTTTAACAAGGCAATTGGAAACAATTTCCGAAAGTCAGAACAAACTCGATACTTCTTCGAACGAATTTCGGTTATGAATCTTCATTCTGAATCTCGTAAACTACTTACACGTGCTTTACATTGAGCATCGTTTTAAATTTTTTAGACTACCCGTTAGTTTTACAACAGTTAGTACGTTGTAATTTTATCATTAAAAAAGGATCACGAAGGTTTGTTTCAACAGACGTATATTATATATCCAATAAAACTTGAAATCTCAATCTTTTTATTATATTCAAGTTACATGGTGCTGTTTCTCTGTTATAATAACTGTTTTAAGCAATTGCGCATCCAAATCTAAAAATTCAATAACACTTCTGAGAAATAAGTCGATCCAATCAATTATAAACTCCATCGATAGAACCGTCGAAATACTGAAAGTGAGCAGAAAGAATACGCCAATTCCGGTCATAACAAAACCAAACAGCTTGAAATTAAAAAAAAGATAAGCAAAAACATGAGTGGAAATAAATAAATTAATAACACTTGTATTTGTTACAGACTCACTCCTTTACATAAATTAACTGTCGCGCTTAAATTATATTGCTTCAACATTTAAGCTCTGAAAAAGAAGGCCTTTTTTTCGGAATCTAATTGGTGTGATTGCCCAATCAAAATGATAATAGTGAAGATCAAAAGTGCGCTAAATAGACAAAGGGTGAACTAGAAGAAATTGTAGAGATAATTATTAAGATATTATATAGTACATACAGATATGTATCTATGCAGTGCGACGTAACTAATACCTTTTGTAGTGTACTCAGCCTTTGTTTTTCAGTCACTAGTGTTTCCAGCAAATTTCGCTCAATATCCATTTTCTTCTCAGTGTTAGAAATACACAGATGCTTATAGACAATAAATCAAATTTTGATTTAGAAAAAAGTTCAAGTTCTGTTGATTTCAATTTTGTATGATTTGTCAAATTTACAATTGAAAATCTATCCATATTTTCAGGGCAAGCTAAGGTACTACTAACCTATCGAAACTTTGTGCTATATGCGGATGATTTTTGATAAATTGTCAGGCACGAAAACAAAGCGTGATCCATTTCGAATGTTTACTATCATTCAAAAGAACATTATTTGGCATTTATTTATTCAAGATTATCTCCTTCAAATTTTGGTCGCAGCTACGTCTCAGATGGTTCATTCGTTGAATCCAATTTTCATTGACTCCTTCGAGCATTTTGCCTGGTAACTGCCAAAGGACATGCTTGATCCAAGACATGGATTATCCCCCTTCGATTCAGGCTTTGCCCTTATATACTTTAAACTTTACATTTCCCCAGAAGAAGTCTAACGAAGTGATACGAGTATCATACGATCTCGGTAGCCAATTGAACGGCTCAAAATGTGAAATTATCTGCTCAGAGAAGTGTTCTCTCAATGAAGCCATTGATTGGTGTGATATGTGAAAATGTCACCTGGTTGTTGGAAGCAAATTTAACCAAGCCCACGAGCTTAAATTTTAGGCATAAAATAGTCGGTTATCACGGCACGATAATGGTCGCCATTGACTTTTACATTCTCGCCAACATCATTTTTGAAGAAATATGGACCGATGTGTTTTTTCTGGATAAAATGGGTCACTTGAATCTCTTTAGATTTCTCTTTGTCCCAATTGCGGCAATTTTGCTTACTTACATATCCGTTGAGCTAGAAATGAGCCTCAGTGCTGAACGAAATTCGGCTCGAAAACGTCGGATCTTCTTGAAACTTTTCAAGATGTCGCATTAGATGTCTTTCCATACGCCAGTCCGAGTTGCTGCGAACGGCGTCGAATCGACTCTCCACAATCCTCGTGTACACTTTCAGCTACGGCTTTTATATTTTCTTCACTACGTACTGGACCTAGTCTATTCGGTTGAATATTATCCAATAATGTATACCGAGTTTCAAGATGGGTGATGGTGTCGCGAATACTATGCTCAGTAGGCCGATTATATTGACCATGCGCCAAATACATTCTTTACAATATGTGAACTTTCATAATAAAGTTCAACGATTCCTTTCTTCGACTGGATCTTCTTCTTCGATTTTTTTTTTATATCTCGACTCTCTAATATTAAAGGGAGGCTTGAATAATAATAAAGAAATCTTTCATACCGTATAATCCCCCAAAAAAGCACAACACTCTCTTTCTCTCTCTCTCTCTCTCTCTTCCTACAAATGGTAGATAACTCAATCATCTCCAAATCTTTCATTTAAATTATATAATTAAATTTTAATTTAAAATATCAAATATGTAAATATAATAAGTCGTAATCGAATGCTGCCTCAACGGTCTCTATGTATATAGCCATAAGAAACTCTGCTTTAGTCTGCCATGAATATACATACTATGTATTGCCACTTCAAATAGAATGGTTTTGGTGCTCAATTACATGACTAGCAAGCTCCTCGAAGTGTCTTAAGGCTTGTCTTTTCTTCTCAATTACCAAATTGTCCGATAAACGGATCAAAATTAATATTGTAAGCGTGGCTAATATTCCCAATGTGAAGAACACAATCTGTAATGAGTTGATACAAAATTCACTACGTTCTTTTTTGTTGTTAAAAATAAGTTTATGGTTGTTTTAGCTACTTTGTAAATTAGTTTGAGTCTTAAGTTTTCGATTGGCTCAGCGACATTTCCTTCTATATCGATAGCTTTATCTCGTGGCACTTCCTTCATTGCGCTCTCTTTTCTTCGCTCTTCTTGTTTTTCGTATTCTAAAACTTTCTATTTTATGTTTATTATTGATATTTTTTTTTTTCAAAAAAGATTTTGACTTTGAATTTGAAGTGTTCTTTGTTCAATAAAGAGGAAAGTTGAAAATACTATATCCTAAGCCAAAGGTGGCTACTAAATATCATATCATGTTTGACTCGTTTAATCTTATTATTTAACATAAATGCCGTTTGGCTGTGATCTAAATCTAATTGAAGACCTATTTTCCAATGACACTCCCCAATAACCATCCCAATATTAGTTTCCGTATGATCTGCCGTAGATGATTTATAGACTGAAAGCAGACAGAACTATTTCTTGATATGATGCGGTTACTAAAAGAAGTATTATTCAAAGCCAACCATCTTCCATTTTCTATTTCGATATACCATAAATATACATATAAATAAATATGAAATTAAATTAACAGACTGGTGGTATTTCGAAACTATTTTTCAACTCTAACTTAACAAGCACAAAAGCTAGTTACCAAGCATAGAATGATGAGATAATTAGTCAAATGTCCATCCAAAGAATAATGCTAATGCTCGACTCTAACTGACCGTCCAAGATTAATTTTTCTGTCGCCGATATCCATCTATTCATGAGAAAAGAACGCTGATTTGTATGTTTGTTGTATGCTTATTATTTTTCAATGTGGACCATTGAAATTTGGTTTAATTGGAGGGACACATCCACTCTGAGACCTTTAATGTGTCCAGTGTCCCGTAGGCTTTTGGTGAGAGACTCCTCTACTTCCCAACAGCTCCTTCACAACAATATAAGGGAAAAAATTCTTTGCGTACCACCTCCTCAACTATGGGTTTCCGTGATAGCTTTCTATTTGGTAAGGCTACAGCCCTATTACTTCTACTTTTCGATAGGAAACGATATTTTGCAATTTTTTATGAGATCAAAATCAGCTGTATAAGCTATCTTCCGACAGCCTCGTTCCTCGAGTTTTTTCAATAGGCCATTTACCACTAAGATCCAGACTAAAAGAAACAGTACTTTGTTGATGCTATTCGACACCACAGAAAAGACATTATATGAGGCAACCTCAAATCTCTTCAGGGCAGTAATGACTGCTTCCAGCCGCAGATTGTTGAATGCACCCTCAATGTTGAGAAATGACCCCAGTTCAACATATTTCTATTGCAAGGACTCCTTCCAGCTCAATCACAATGGCGTACAGAGCAGTATCACCGACTTTCTTTTACTGTAGGCGTGACGAGGCCCTAATATCTTATCTCTGGGCTTACAGCACCCACTTCAATTGGCATTTTTATGAGAAATCATTGCGGCGTTCGGGATGAATGCTTTATTTTCATACCTCCAAGCCTCGAGAATGTGGCCTAACATAACCGAGTTTGCGTCAATATACGTGGGGGTCAACCAGATGTATGACATCTTTACCGTCCACTGAAATTGCGGAAGTATACTGGATTTTAACGACAATGTGAGATTGCACTCATCTAATAAAGCTGTATCGCCGTTCTGAAGTGCTCTGAGAGGCTCTTTAATGGATAAGTGCTTTTAACAACTACAAACCACTTAAAATCCAATCACCACGCTCACTTTTACGATATACTTTATTGCGAGAAGGGGTTTAAAACGTCGTAACCGAATGCTTTAATTGAGGATTCGTAGTACCCTGCTTTCGCTGAAAAATTTGCGTGCAACTCTTTTGGTCTTCTTTATTTCCGACTTGTGTATAGCAAGCACTATCTTACACTCATCGTTTGCTAACCACCTACCGAACCGCCCACGTAGCTTTAGTTGAAACTTTGGTGTGAACTATTGCTTAGATCATTGTCAACGGGACATTTTAAGGAAGGGGCAATTAATTCTTCATATAAAAATATCTATGTTTTAAAAAGAACTAAATACACGCAAAATTATTTGATATCAATTTGATTATTGCCCTTCAGGATTTACATTCTTTCTTTTGTACACTCCGAACAAAGTATCCATAAATCTTATAAGCCACAAGGCAATGATAATAAGGCTCACTGTTATTAAGCCCGTTAATGCGAATCCAAAAATCTGTAAAAAGAAAAATATATTTAAGTTTTAAACTCTCCAATTAAAATGCTTAACTAGAATGGACTCACACAATTATTAGCTCGAACTAGGAATTGGAAGATTACATCACGCCGGTTACTGCGTACTGAGCTTCTTTCTAAATCAAGCATTGCTAAGGAAAGTGTGTATGTAAAATAAACTCGAGGTGGCTAAAAAAGGTTACAATTGTAACAAGTCTTCGGTTAGGTGCGCGGAGCCATGTTGGATGGCGTGTGGCTTCGACTCGAAAAGTAAACCGTTTGAGAAGCGTATCAAAGCGTAAACGGTGAAAGCTGACGAAATGCCAATAAAGAAGAATGTAATCTAAAAATATGCAAATATATACAAAAATATAATAATTTTTTATTTTTCTTCAAATTGACAAACCTTTTGGAAAAGAGTTAACTCTTTCTTTTGCTTTACTTCAAGTGAACTCTGCTGCTCCAGAGTCATTATTGGATTTTTGTGAGTGATTTATGTAATTATTTTTCTATTCAACAAGTTATGCGTTTCTGTAACAAAACAAATTTGACTTCTTTCAAAAAGAAATGTTAGCTGACATTATCTAAAATTCAAACAAAATTTGAAGCAATCAAAGAAAGTATTTGCTTTCATGAAGTCATTGTTATAAATGGAGAGTTGCCACTTATAGAATATAAAATGACTCTGTTCGTAATTCCGACAGTAAGTAAAAACAATTAAAATTCAATATGAAGACGGCCGGATCAGTAGGTACTTCAATGTGCTATAGACCCTATTGATTTACTATTGTGCAGCATTAGGTCACTGTTCAAAAACGGACTCATAGTTATATCCTGCATGAATGAATTTCATATCTAACCAGGCGCAGGTTCTTCGACGGTTTAAAAATAGGATACAATCGATACGAAAACAGACATTTTCTGAAAGAAAATTGAAGAATCAATTTATGAAGACCTTTAGAGCAAATGCTTAGGTCGAATTTATTTTCGGGAACTAATATTTAGTTCATAGATTTGCTTCGTAAAATTTCTCGATAAAAAAAAAAGATATCGAAGTTTATTAAACGAGTTCAACACACTCAGTACAGTCCAGAATTGGTCATCGCTCTGCGGTTGAATACAGCACAAACGGATCTGCTTGTTTTAACTTCGAAATTCAAAATACTTCCAAAACGACTGTCTTTGATAAATGGAAGACAACTCTTTCTCAAGAACTGCAACAAATCCTTGGGGCAGTATTGGTCAACAAACTGTTAAAGCACAATATAGTTGAAAGACTGAAAAAGGCTAACAAGGCACAACTTCGGATATTCTCCCTTTCAACTTTCTCAAGCTACACCGTGATTGTAAAACTAACTCCGCTCTACAACGAAGTAGAGTAAAGCCATAGGTTTAAGGAAATTTACTACTGAATGGAGAAAGTTCAGAGACTCGAACTGAGCATAACGGAAGCGCTAAGAACCATTTAGAACAAGTAGGGAGGGGCTAAGTCCGGGTGTCACCGAATATTTTATACTCTCGCATCAAATACCGTATTTGTGTAAAGTTTTATTCCGCTATCATCATTGGTTCCTAATGTATATATTATACAGAGAAGGCATCAGATGGAATTCAAAATAGCGTTACATTGGAAGAAGGCGTGGTTGTGAACCGATTTCACCCATATTTCATATATGTCATCAGGGTGTTAAGAAACTATTATGTACCGAATTTCATTGAAATCGGTCTAGTAGTTCCTGAGATATGGTTTTTGGTCCATAAGTGGGCGACACCACGCCCATTTTCAATTTTTAAAAAAAGCCTGGATGTAGTTTCTCTCTGCCATTTCTTCCGTGAAATTTAGTGCTTCTGACGTTTTTGATTAGTCGGCTAACGCACTTTTAGTGATTTTCAACATAACCTTTGTTGGGAGGTGGGCGGGGTTATTCTCCGATTTCTTCCGTTTCTGAACTGTATATGGAAATGCCTCAAGGAAACAAATCTGTAAAGTTTGGTTGACATAGCTATAGTAGTTTCCGAGATATGTATTAAAAACTTAGTAGGGGCGGGGCCACGACCACTTTTCCAAAAAAAAATACGGTTACCAGCTACCTTGGTGCAAAAATGCAAAAATCATGTCTAAGACGGTAGATCAGCAATATACGAAGTTCTTACTGGCATTCGATAGAAGGTACTATGGAAACATGATTGAGCCAACCAGGAAAATAATGGAGCTCCACTAGTGTATTTATCTCGCGTCCACAAGATTGCACTGTAAGCCTTGGAGAGGTGCCGATAGCAAGGCCACAGAGTCTACTAAAATTGGTGTCAAGCGCAGGCACTTCTCTAGGACCTCGTAATAAAATTCCATTTGATAACGCAAAGGACCCAAACTAGTCTATGTGTGTCTCCTTAGAGTACCAGACGAACGTAGCCTAACCGCATTAGTATAGATTTATCGGTCCGGTATTTATAACACAGAAGCTTGTCCACTTAAAAAGACGCTTTGTACTTTTTAGGTACATATGTTATAACTTTTTATATTGCATACATATAAACATATATATACATATATCTCAAGATATGTCTACATAAATATGTACTATGCGGTTTGTAAAAGTATTTAATTTGCCTGCCAGAAAACCAGATTGCCCAAAACAATTAAACACTTTCACTTCACAAAATGGAGCCATCTTATAACCTCTAGTCTTCTTAGTTACCCATGCATATTTGCAACATGTGTATATGTTTATAAATATACATATGTATGGATAACCGTAAATGTACTTAAGACTTAGACAACTGGAATTGTATTACTCTTACTGCCGGTGCGTAGGTGTCCATGGTGTTGCTCCTTAAGGTTCAAACCGCTACATTAATTTGTAGTAACAGACGCTTTCACTTTGGTGGTTTGGCTAGCTTGTTTAATTTAAAAAGTTTTGTAAAATGTTACGTTTGTAGCCGAAGTCACACATTCACTTGGCTACCCAGTGAACTGTAGTACAAGACTTGAAGAATATTAAGTTATATACACACATATATAT